AAATAACTCACCTACAACTTTGAAAAACCAAGAACAGGCCTTTTAAATATTCTGCTTTGAAAGGGACTAAAGAACACAATATTGTATGATCCTGAATGGATCTTTTGTTGTTGTCGTTGTTGCTGTTTGTTGAGAAATAGTTCACATACCATAAAATTCACGTTTTTTTTTTTTTTAAGATTTATTTATTTATTTATTTGACAGAGAGAGAGATCACAACTAGACAGAGAGGCAGACAGAGAGAGAGAGAGGGAAGCAGGCTCCCTGCTGAGCAGAGAGCCCGATGCGGGACTCGATCCCAGGAACCTGAGATCATGACCTGAGCCGAAGGCAGCGGCTTAACCCACTGAGCCACCCAAGCGACCCCAACGTTTTTATTTTTTTAATTTTAAAAATTGTATAATTAACAAGCAGCATTACATTAGTTACAAAAATTCTTGTTTTTAAAATGTAAAATTATCGTCTGCTCACAAAATTGTGCAACCAGCACCACTATTTGATTTCAATACCTTTCGTGAATCCAAAAAGAAACTCCAAACCGACTGGCAGTCACTCTCATTCCCCCATCTTTCCAGCCCCCGGCGGCCAAGAATCTAAATTTTTGCCTACAAATTTACTATTCTGGACATCATACATTAATAGAGTCATACACTATAGGTCTTTTGTGTCTGACTTCCTTCACTTAGCATAAGGTTTTCAAGGTTAACCCATGTTGTGGCGTGTGTCAGTATGTCATCCCTTCCTATAGCAGAATAATGTTCCATTCTATAGCTATACTACGTTCAGTCATTAGTCCATTGATGAATACTTGGATTGTTTGCAATTTTGGTCCATTAAGAGTAAAGCCGACATGAATATTCATATACAAGTGTTTTTTTTTAAATTTTTCTGTTTTTTTTTTCAATTCTCTTGGATAAATACCTAGAAATAGAATTGTTGGGCAATGGGGTAACTCTACATTTAACTTTTTGAGAACCTACCAAACTGTTTCCAAAGCAGCTTCTATGACTTTTTCCATTCCCATAAGCAATGTATGAGGGTTCCAATTTCAACACATCCTTGACAATGTCTTGTCTTTTTTTAAAAGTGATCCTAATGAATGTGAAATGGTACTCATTTTGGCTTTCAATTGCATTTTTCTTAATAACGAATGATGATGAGCATATTTTGATGTCTTTATTGGTCATTTGTATATCTTTTTTGGAAGAATGTTTATTCAACTCCGTTGCTCATTTTTTAAGTAGATAATTAGTCTGGTTATTTTTGAGCTGCATATATTCTGTTTAGCTTCATATATTCTGAATACTAGGCCTTCATCAGATCAATGATTTGCAAATATTTTCTCCTATTCTGTGGGCTGTCCTACTAAGTGCAAAATTTGGATTTTGATAAAATCCAATTTATTTTCCCTTTTGCTTATTATATTCTTAGTGTCATATCTAAGAAACCACTGCCCATTCCAAGGTCACAAAGACTTATGCCTATGTTTTCTTCTAAGACTACTATAGTTATAACTCTTACCTTTAAGTCTTTGATCATTTTGAGTTAATTTCTGTTAGAGTTTTTTTGTACAGTCTGATTAGATTGGATGATTCTGTTATAAAGGCATTGTTGACACAAATGGCAAAATGTGAATGGAGTCTTGAGGTGAAGAGTACGTGAGAATTTCTTTGTTCTAATCTCGCAACAATTATTTTAAAATAAAAAGTTAAAATTCAAAAATGTGTTCTAGTACCTGCAAAACAGGTACTACTAGTAACTTGATAGACCTGTTCCTCCAAGAAAGCAGTGTCACAGAAGTGACTTCAGAATGGGAAGTAGCAAGATAATATGGGAAGGGTATGCCACACAGGCTGAAGTCTTAAGTAAATTCTCAAATAAATCATAAGGCTTTGCCTACTTCCCCTCCCTCCACCAATACATACTGAAAATAGTTCAGAATTCAGTAGGAGGGAAAAAAAAAGAAAGAAACCCTTCAATTCATAGTGACATTTTAAGCTGCTGCTTCTGCTTCTCCTTTCCCTTCTTCTTCTTCGTCTTCTTCTCAGGAAGAAGTATAACTCAGGGCTGCCTAAAAGGTCTTGCTTATTTTTTTTTTAAAGATTTTATTTATTTATTTGACAGAGATCACAAGTAGGCAGAGAGGCAGGCAGAGAGAGAGGAAGGGAAGCAGGCTCCCCACTGAGCAGAGAGCCCGAAGCGGGGCTCGATCCCAGGACCCTGGCTCGATCCCAGACCCTGGGATCATGACCTGAGCTGAAGGCAGAGGCTTTAACCCACTGAGCCGCCCAGGCACCCCAAAGGTCTTGCTTATTAGGAGGAAAGGACAACCATTGTGTTGAAAGACATTTCTGAAGAGCTCAAGGGACTTTGTGTCAAAGTTTTCCTGATTCCCAGATCCCGCAACATTTCCCCAGAGATGACCACTTAATCCATGCCTGCACATCAGTGGCTCCTAAACTTTGGTCAGTCTTCCCCAGAAGCAGAAGAGGTCTTAGCAATTATAGCCCCAGCCAGCCCAGCTCTCTGACACCCTCCAGAGAGTCACCTTTGTATTGGTGTATTCTCCTCTAATCTTATATCTAAAAATCTAGAAATTCGATTCTTCTTGGGCTTCAATTCAGATGACTTCTCTTTATTCCCTGAACTAGAGAATCTCCTTCATGGCCCTGGAAGTCTGTGTGAACTTGCTCCTTCTAAATCAACCTCTTTTTCTTCTCTTCTCTTTTCTGCATTCACACTCTTATAACCAGCCAAGCCGAGGCTCTGATTCAGATAAGCTTTTCCTCAAGTAGTGCTTGCCTCTGAACTGAACCCCTATGGACCCACGTGCTAGAGTCACCACTTGAAGGTGGAATTTCTCTCCTAGGAACTTCTCTCTAGAATAGTGATCTTCAAATCAACCTGTCGACCCCTAGGGACTCCATGAGTGTGACTCAAGGGCCATTATGGGAAGATGGGCACAAGGAAGCCAAGATGCCACGGTCCTTCTTCAAGGAATGGAGAACGTCTGTTATGTGTTTAGTGTATTATGCTTCTATACAACATTTTCCAATTCCACTATGTACTCTTGTGATCTTGGACAACTTGTTTATTTTCTCTGTGCCTCATTTCCTTTATTTGTAAAGTCTTGGTAGTAATAGTATTTGCCTAATACAGTTTTAAAATTTAAATAAGTTAATATTCATAGAACAATTTCAAAACTACCTGACACATAATTAGTGCTCAGTAAATATTATTACTGTTACTGCTATTGTCATTAAACAAAGTTTTTTGCTGTTAGAAAAGTTTAAAAGTGCAGACAGAGGCCGTTTTCAATTTCAATAAAGGAATCACCTCTGCAGGTCCTTGAGAAATATTCATTTGACCTCCAAGGAGACACTTAAAAGGATCTCACTAATTCTAGTCATTACCAAACTTTACTGATCATCACTAAGTTCCTTTTGTGATGACATGCCAATATTTATCATTCCCAGTACAGCCACAAAGATACAACACTTTCTTATTTTAAGATAGTTCTTAAGGGCTTTCTGACTCTTTTCTTAAGACCTCTGTCACTGTCATTGTCTTTGCTATCATGATCATTATCATCAAATACCAAAATTTGTTAAGAACTTACTATGTGCCAAACCCTGGATAAGAACTTTACAAATACAATCTCATTTGAAACTTATAACAAGCTCATGATGATGGTGCCATTAACTTTATTTTGTAAGCTTGTTAAAGTATTTGACACTTGTTAAAATGGTAAGGAAGCTGTCATTCAAAGTATAGTCTTGAATACTCCTATTGTAATTGGAGAGAGAGATTGAGCTCAAGTCTGCATAAAACATGGGGGATTTTTAGCCAAGGAGCAAGTTGAGGGGGTCAGTAGCTTGGTGAGCTTGTCTGTTAAAAATGATTGTATTAGTGTAAAATGTCACTGGTCTCATATGTAACTATGGCCCAGGGCAAAGTCAACATCTCATTCTTGAATCATCAAGCTGTGTTTTTGGGACTAGAGAATCATGGCCAAAGCTCTAGGGACAGTCCAGCCATTTCAGTCACGAAATCCATTGCTGGCTAAGCTGGTCATATAGTTCTTTATTATTGCCCTTGAGAAGACCCTTCTCCCAAGGGCCCTTGATAAAGAAGCTTCCATCAGAGATCTGACAGGTAAATGAGGTGTGACTGCTCACCAGCTCTACTCACTGTTCCATCTCCTCAAATTTAGATACTTGGGAAAATTATCCCCCTGCTAAAGAGCATCAATCATTATTTTTTCTGCTGAATCAAGAGTTGGGTGTCGGGGTGCCTGGGTGGCTCAGTTAAGCATCGTGATCTTGGGGTCATGTAATTGAGCCCTGTGATGGGCTCTGTGCTGGCTGTGTAGCCTGCTTGAGATTCCCTCTCTCCCTGTCCCTCTGCCCTTTTCTTCCCAGCCCCCCAAAAGACTTGGATATTGATACCTTTTCTCTGTGACCAGTCTGGAGTCTTATCTCCTAATTTCCTATTTGGTATCAGAGGAAAGAGGGGAAACTGGAAATATGTCTGAATTTAGAAGGCTGCCACGCTGATGAGTATTCCCAGAAGTAGTAAAAAGATAAATATGTAGTAAAACCGGTGAAATTACTTAACTTCTGTTACTTCATTTTTCTCATCTGTAAAACAAAGAAAATGGTAATAACTATCCCATAGATTTACTATGAAGATTCAATGGTATAACAGATGTGAAAGCACTCAAACTCTCAAGTATGTAAAGAAATAAGGAAATAACAGATTAATTGGGTTCTATTATCTATTAAAATGTCATGAGCAACTATCTGATTTCACAATAAAAGAATTCCCATACTAGCAAATGTTTCTGACCTCTTCCCATGATTATGTTTCTGGAAATAGCTATTTCACAATTGAGGCAGGAACTCTTGACAATATATAAGGCAAGACCCAAGTGGGCCGAGCAGACACTAGAAAGTCACTGGTTTTGTCACCATCTGACTGCACTTGGCCACTTCAGCAGCATGAAAGCAACAGCCTTTGCCTTGCTCTTGGCTCTGGCACTTATGACCATCTTCAGTAAGTATCTCCCTCATAACACCACCTCTGTCCTGATACCAACAGCTCATGTCATCTTCTGTTCACAGAATTCTGGGATATACAGAGCACAGATAATAAGGGAAGCTTTTTGAAATGCATTTTTTGTCTCTACCAATAAATCACTAAATGATACCACCTTTGGGGCTGAGTTGACTTAAATGGTCAGCTAAGGGCAAATTCTTATCCATTTAAATATTTATATTTGGTCAGTGTACATCCAGACTCTGCTTTGACTTGATATCTCTATTTATGTGTTTATGGGGACCTCATTTCTTTATAAAACTGTCCTATCAACTGAGAGTGGTGGAATGGGAGGTGGGTAGGAGGATGGGGTAACTGGGTGATGGGCACATGATATAATGAGCACTGGCTGTTATACACAACTGAGGAATCACTGAACACTACATCTGAAACCAATAATGTACTATATGTTGGCTAATTAATAAGAAAAGAGAGAAGAACCACATGGTCCTCTCAATTGATGTAGAAAAAGCATTTGACAAAATCCGGCATCCGTTTCCGATTAAAAGGCTTCAAAGTATAGGGATAGAGGGAACATTCCTGAACTTCATAAAATCTATCTATGAAAAACCCACAGCAAATATCATCCTCAATGGGAAAAAGCTTGCAGCCTTCCCGTTGAGATCAGGAACACGACAAGGATGCCCACTCTCACCACTCTTGTTCAACATAGTTTTAGAAGTCCTAGCAACAGCAATCAGACAACAAAGAGAAATAAAAGGTATCCAAATTGGCAATGAAGAAGTCAAACTCTCTCTCTTCGCAGATGACATGATTCTTTATATGGAAAACCCAAAAGACTCCACCCCCAAACTACTAGAACTCATACAGCAATTCAGTAACGTGGCAGGATACAAAGTCAATGTACAGAAATCAGTGGCTTTCTTATACACTAACAATGAAAATACAGAAAGGGAAATTAGAGAATCAATTCCATTTACTATAGCACCAAGAACCATAAGATACCTGGGAATAAAACTAACCAAAGAGGTAAAGGAACTGTACTCAAGGAACTACAGAACACTCATGAAAGAAATTGAAGAAGACACAAAAAGATGGAAGACCATTCCATGCTCTTGGATCGGAAGAATAAACATTGTTAAAATGTCTATACTGCCTAGAGCAATCTATACTTTTAATGACATTCCGATCAAAATTCCACCGGTATTCTTCAAAGAGCTGGAGCAAATAATCCAAAAATTTGTATGGAACCAGAAGAGACCCCGAATCGCTAAGGTAATGTTGAAAAACAAAAATAAAACTGGGGGCATCACGTTACCTGATTTCAAGCTTTACTACAAAGCAGTGATCACCAAGACAGCATGGTACTGGCATAAAAACAGACACATAGACCAGTGGAACAGAGTAGAGAGCCCAGATATGGACCCTCAACTCTATGGTCAGTTAATCTTCGACAAAACAGGAGAAAATATACAGTGGAAAAAAGACATCTCTTCAATAAATGGTGCTGGGAAAACTGGGCAGCTATATGCAGAAGAATGAAATTCGACAATTCTCTTACACCATACACAAAGATAAACTCCAAATGGATAAAAGATCTCAACGTGAGACAGGAATCCATCAGAATCCTAGAGGAGAACATAGGCAGTAATCTCTTCAATATCAGCCACAGCAACTTCTTTCAAGATATGTCTCCAAAGGCAAAGGAAACAAAAGCCAAAATAAACTTTTGGGACTTCATCAAAATCAAAAGCTTCTGTACAGCAAAGGAAACAGTCAAAAAAACAAAGAGGCAACCCACGGAATGGGAGAAGATATTTGCAAATGACAGTACAGACAAAAGGTTGATATCCAGGATCTATAAAGAACTCCTCAAACTCAACACACACAAAACAGACAATCATATCAAAAAATGGGCAGAAGATATGAACAGACACTTCTCCAATGAAGACATACAAATGGCTATCAGACACATGAAAAAATGTTCATCATCACTAGCCATCAGGGAGATTCAAATTAAAACCACATTGAGATACCACCTTACACCACTTAGAATGGCCAAAATTAGCAAGACAGGAAACAACATGTGTTGGAGGGGATGTGGAGAAAGGGGAACCCTCTTACACTGTTGGTGGGAATGCAAGTTGGTGCAGCCTCTTTGGAGAACAGTGTGGAGATTTCTCAAGAAATTAAAAATGAATTTAAATTAAAAAAAAAAAAAGCCTGTCCCATCCATTGTTTGGCAGCATGAGGTCTTATTATTTTTGCATTGAGTTGAAATTTGCTTCCTAAGAATTTTCAACTGCTGGTCCAGCTTCTGCCATATATGCCTCCTACACAATAGCAGACATTCCCTAGATATAAAACCACTTCTTTTTTCCAGTATTTTCTAAACTGTTATTATGAGGTAAGAAAGAACAAAATTCCTCATTATTATAGTAGCTTCTCCATGCTTCTGGCTATGCTCTAATCCTATCCAAAAAAGAAAAAAAAAATCTATGCTGAGCTTCAATCTTTGATATTATATTGATACACGGTTCTGAAGAGAGTCTGATATTTTTGATAGGCTGAGAACTGAAACATAAATGAGAGATCATTTTTCAACACGATTAGGTTCTTCCAGAGTTTAATTTGGTTTCTCTTGTCTTTTTCTTATAGATGTAGAATGTGCCACACACCCTCAACAGGTCAGTACATCCATCTTGATATAAAAGTTTTACTTTTATATTTTATGTAATTTTAAAGCCAGTATCAACAAGGAAATATTTGCAACTATACACTAATTAAATTGCTACATGTTTGAAGACTTTTTAAGTATCAAAACTGATTTTGCTTTTAAAAATTCATTAAAAGATCTTTCTGAAATGGACATAGTAGGACAAAGTGGTTAGGCACCTATCATCCGAGTTATTATAAAGTCCTGGGTTTGAATTCCAGCTCCTTGATCGTGTGGCCATGGACAACAATACTTGCCTCATAAGCTTATTGTGAGGGTTAAAACCACAGTGTTTGAAGAGAGATGAGCTCTGTACTGGCACCAAAGAAGGACAAGTCATGACTCTTATAATGCTAAATGGGTCACCTCCATCTTTGTTCTTTATCTTAGGGAATGGATATTTTAATTTAACCTTCCCTTTATGACTCATATTAAGCAATAACTGTTGTTGAGAAAATCTAGGTGTGATAGTAAAAACTTTAAACCAGGAATCTAAGCTCAATGGCTTTTCAGCAGTATGCCTGTGGGGCTCAGGCAGCTTCTTTCACTTCTTTGAGTCTTTAATTTTATGTATTAAAGAGAATAAGAGGGTTAAGAGTGTGAATTTTGGAGTCAGACAGTCCTGAGTTCAAGCCATCCTTCACAATTAGTAGCTGCTTGAGAATGAAAACAGTTAATGAATATGAAGCCTTGGTCATTTCTTGGTCACACTGTGCATATGACTTAAGTCCTGACACTGGGGTTTGAGTAGGCAAGGAGAAGAAGTGAAATCATGCTGACATATACTCATCAAGGGGCACTGTCATTCCCATTCTCCAGTAGACTCCACTCGCCTCTGAGTGCCTTCTGCCATTTTATCACCTTTGCTAATCTTTGTATTGCCAGCCGTCAGCACAATCCTAAAACTTAGAAAGTACGTGGCGTATGGCAAACAAAGGCATGAATAGATCAATTAATGGAACATAACTGAAGGGGAAGATGAATTTAACATGAAGTTTGGGTATATTTCAGGCTACCCAAGTGGAGACATTCAACAATTAGTAGCATATCACATGTGGAACTCTAAGTCAGAAAAACTGAAACGTAAACTCTTCTGTACAGAGCTAGAATTTGTGTAGTCCTGAACGTAGAGCCAAGGGATAAAACTAATAGCAAGGATTTTTGTAGTATTTTCCATGTCATGAAGTGCTAAGCATTTTACATGTATCTTCTTGATTATGTATTTTTTACTTCAATCTTAAGATGTAGTTATTATCACCCTTATTTTGCAGGTAAAGAAACAAAGCTTAGAGAAGTAAAATGATGGTCTCAGGGTCATATAGTCAGGATTTGAAATGTGACACGTTTGACTCTTGCTCTCTATACCCTTCAATTCGTTCATAGATGAAAACCGCAGAAAACCCCTATCTTGGTGATTGCAGACGTGCTCCTTCCTTCAGGGGCCTTCATGTTGGCTTTCCTCCCGGCCTTTACAACAGTGGTTCTCAACGACAGCCGTAAAACGCATGTGTCTGTCTATGCACTGAAGAAGTGTATAACACATGCTTTGCGACCAATAATGAATGGCAAAAGTTGCTAGTGATGTGCTAGTTCTTAAAACTATAGGAAGTATCCCTATAATCTCATACTTGTTTGCAGGTAGAACTTAAGTGAAAGAGGGAAATAGCAGGATGTGTAGAAAACTAATGTCATGGGAATGATTACATCTGTGACTCTGCCATGTATGTTTTTAAATTCAAATTTTAATTTTTAGATAAATTATTTGGTTACAAGCTACCATAAAGAAGTTTATCACTTGTGACTTTTGTATCTGATGTAAGAAATCTCTATACTTGACATATCTCGAAGGGGCTGGATGAGGACAATTAGAATAAGAAACTGGAAGCGCCTGGGTGGGTCAGTGGGTTAAGCCTCTGCCTTCGGCTAGGTCATGATCTCAGGGTCCTGGGATCAAGCCCCTCAGCAGCGAGCCTGCTTCTTCCCCTTCTCTCCGCCTGCCTCTCTGCCTACTTGTGATCTCTCTCTCTGTCAAATAAATAAATATTTTTTTTTAAAAAGAATAAGAAACTGATGATTTGAAAGCTCTCTAAACTTGCTTGGGAAATCCTAAATTCTGGGAAAAAGATTTGGTTCAAGGCTTTTAATATGTATCTCCAGGTTGATTGCAGTAAATATAAGAAGTTACCACCAGGAAAAGAGGGAATTTGTTATGAAATATATGCACCAATTTGTGGATCTGATGGCGAAACTTACCCTAATGATTGCTTCTTTTGTCATGAAGTTCAGTAAGTGTTGAAATATTTTTATTTTCTACATTTAAGGTGTAATTAAGTGTTATGGCAAATATACCTCAATTAGAAGTTGTTTAGGGCACAATGAATATGTAAATATGAGAATTTGGGGTCTCTAGTGTCTTTGGATCTGTGCATATTCAGGCAGTAAGAATAAATCAAAGAACTAGAATCTCTAAGTTGGAAGGAAATTTGAGGGTCATCTAGTTCAATGTCCACATACTCGTTTACTGCTTGAACTCATTCTACAAATAACTCAAGTCATCCCAGTATGCAGTTGATTATCTCCAGGGACAAGGAACATCCCTCCTCCTAGCCAGTCCACTTATCTGTCAGAACGAACTGTATCTATTGTTCATTTTAATAATTAAGTTTAGATGTATTAGAGCCCCCTAATGATTGGCACAAAAAGGGATAATATCTAAAAATTCTAAAGAAATTTTTGTTTCAGTATGATTTCTCAACAAAACATATATTGAAGCTCTAATAAAAATTAAATTTGAAAATCAAATAGCTAAATATAGCTTAAAGGTTACAAAATAATCACCTGAAAGATATGCTAGTACCAGCTCGAGAAATATAAGACGGTGCATGATACACCAGAGTGTATAGAAACATATAGATCCTTTTTTAAAACATACATGAATGAAAACAAATACCCAATATTGATGACATACTGTTCTGGTTTGTTTTTTTAATCAGAAAAAGTTTCTTTTTTTTAAAGATTTTATTTATTTGAGAGAGATAGAGACAGAGAGACAGGAGCAGTGGGTGCGGGCACAGAGGGAGAGGGACAAGCGGACTCCCCACTGAGCATGGAGCCAGACACTGGGCTCGATCCTAGGACCCTGGAACCATGACCTGAGCCGAAGTCAGATGCTTAACCAACTAAGCTACCCAGGCACCCCAGAAAAAACTACCTTTATGAGAAATAGTATTTTTTGAAAAATGTAAAATGTGACATTTATGACGAAATCATTTATGAAAAAAAGGTTTCTAAATGTGCCTCCTTTAGATAAGAAATTTATTAAATATGTTTTCAGGGATATAAACTGATTATGATATATTGTGAGCATCGTCCTTACATAACCAGCACCAGTTGCTAAAATATTTCTAAATTGTAGTCACTCCCTCCCCATTTTTTTTTTAAAGATCTTATTTATTTATTTGAGTAGAGAGAAAACCAGAGAGAGAGAACACAAGCAGGGAGAAGGGGTAGAGGGAGAGGGAGAAGCTGGCTCCCTGCTGAGCAGGGAGACAGATTCAGATGGGAATCCCAGGACCCTGAGATCATGATCTGGGCCGAAGGCAGCCCTTAACAGACTTGAGTGACCCAGGTGCCCCCAGTCACTCCCTCCTTTTAAAAACATCACTGAGTGGACCAACTTGAGTACCTTGTGGGGGGTGGGTTCATTAGTGAATGCTAATTAGTTCTGGATGCCAATAAAATGCCTACGGCCTTAGCAATTTTCATTTGTTGCTATTTTCTCTCCACAGAAAAACTAACAACAAACTTAAATTTGAACATTTTGGAAATTGTTGAATCTAGCTTGTGATTCCAGTTCACACGAAACACACTTCTCCCATATACCCTGTGCTGCATTGCCTAATCTTGTCACCATCATGTCCAGATTTCTTTGTAGAATAAAGGAGACCTACGTGAAATAAACATATGTCTGACTCTTTTTGTTTAGGAGTAGAATCTTCCAGATTTGTCTCACTTTTGGGTGATATCTAAAGGACCACCTTAGGGCCACATCCTAAAAGAAAAGGGTTAACTAAGACCAGAAGCAGGAAGCAGAAAATCAAAGGACCTGAATCTGATGCCTTCTTTTTGCCCAGGCTAGGAAAACACCTCCTGTGCGTAACTCAGTTTTTGTGAATTCCTGAAACATGAACGGAAAAAAATGGGAGTCTTCAAGTATAAGAATCAGGAAATACTGTTTTGCTAGACGTTTCTTATGTTTAAGGCATGAAAGCTGCCCTAGATTGAGACGGCTCTTTATTTTCTACCAGAATACATGTTTGTGAAATTTGGTTGGTCAGACGTGCCCAGTAAAGTTATGTAAATTCCCATGAATTAGTTGATGTCTTCCATGCATTTTTTCCCCTCTAAATTTGTTTTAATTTAGATTCAATTAGCTAATATATAATACACAATTTTTTAAAAATTAAAAATTTTTTTTACATAATTAGTTTTTGATAGAGTGTTCATTGATTCATCACTTGTGTATAACACCCAGTGCTCATCTCATCACGTACCCTCCTTAATACCGGTCACCAAGTTACCCCATCTCCCCACCTTCCTCCCTTTCTGCGACCCTCAGTTTGTTTCCCAGAATCGTAAGTCTCTCATGGTTTATCTCCCTCTCTTATTTCTTCCCATTCAGTTTTCTCTCCCTTCCCCTATGGTCCTCTGTGCTATTTCTAATATTGCACATATGAGGGAAACCATATGATAATTGTTTTTCTCTGATTGACTTATCCTGCTAAAGTTTGCTCTCAAATCTAGCACCTGAAACTTATCTGATCTCACTATTTATTATATGTTTCAAAAACATATTATTTGATGTTCCAAATATCCTATTATCTGTTCCAAAGAACAGAGAGGATGCCTTGCACATCTTTGTAATCCATTTGTGCATCTCTGCAAGTAACCTATATCTATTAATGCCTAGTTGTTGTTAGTATCTGTGATAGGATTTGGAGCATACAATGGTAAATAGAATAGACTTGATCTTGCCTTCTTGGAGCTTATATTCTGCAGAAGAATTTGCTGTGCTTAGTATAGCATCTTGTAGAGAACTGATATTACACAAATATGTTTAACAACATTGAATCAAGGTTAAGCAATATTTCAACTGGATTATACCAGCACATTATGCATACATATAACATATGAAAATCTAACTATATATTCTCCGCAAAGAGGGAGAAAGAGAAAATAGAAATCCTTTTGAGCTGGGGTGCCTGGGTGGCTCAGTGGGTTAAAACCTCTGCCTTTGGCTCAGGTCATGGTCTCAGGGTCCTGATATCGACCCCCACATCGGGCTCTCTGCTCAGCAGGGAGCCTGCTTTCCTTCCTCTCTCTCTGCCTGCCTCTCTGCCTACTTGTGATCTCTGTTTGTCAAATAAATAAATAAAATCTTAAAAAAAAAATCCTTTTGAGCTGTGTTTTTGTCTCACAATCAATTAGAGATTCAGACACCAAGACTGGCCACAAAATGACCTGTGCTAATTTCCAAAGAATTCAAGTAGAATAGTGTGCTCTGGGGTGGTTTATTTTCTTTTGTTTTCTCTTTCACTTTTTGTTGTGGCTGTTGTTTCCTGAATGATGCAAGACCATCATCACTTGGACTATTTAAAAGCACTCTTCAAAGAAACATTTTAAAGAAATGGAATATATTGACTTGGACTTCGTCTTTTCACCAAATATTAAATATCCACTCTTTGCTAGATGCTAGAAATGCATCAATGAACACACAAGTATAAAAATTCATCCTTCCTTTGTGAAGCTTTAAGTTTACATAGGCAGAATAATATTAATGAAATATCAAATGCATATATATATATATATAGTTATATATATATGAAGTTAGACTAACTAGGGCCATCAGGAAAGACCTTCCAAGGCCTTCCTGAGGTGATTGATAACCAGAAACCAAATAATGGGTAGAAGTCAGGCAAAGGAAAATGGAGGCAGGAGTGGAGATGAGGGGAAGGAGGAGGCAGTAGCCATGGGATTAAGAAGCATCATTCCAAGCACAGGGAGCAGCAGGAGACAGCAACATAACAAACTAGCACAGTTATTGGCCAGTTCATGTTTTTCAGCCACTCTCCCAAGCCTCCCTACTATCCACTGCCCACAATTCATTTCCAACTGTCTCTAGAAGGATAGTTCTCAAACACAAATCTTACCTTGTCATCTCCTTGCTAAAATTACTTCAGTGAGTCTCACTATCTATAAGTCCATGAGTGCTGGCCACTTCTGTCTCCAGCCTCATCTCTCTCCGTTCCACATTATGAAATGGACGGGTGACCACTCTCAGAACCCTCCACGCACTTTGCAATTGTGCACATCCTGGTCCCTCTTCCTCCAATTCTCTTTCCCACTTCTCCATCTCACCAATTACTGCTCATTAAAAAGATTATCCCTAATGCTCTCTTCACCAAAAAGCTCCTATGTATTCTCTAATGAGCATCTCCTATGTATTCATTCATTCATATAATCCTCCCAAATTATCAATCATCATAGTATATCCTCATTAATTTGTAAGCATCTGTTTCTTTTGCTATATTATGAGATCATAGCTGGCATGCTGCAGGTATTTGATGAATGTTTAATAAATTAACTAAATTAAATTAAGATGAATTGAATTTGACTTCTATCAACAAGTAAGCAAGGAAACCGTGGTGTCTTATCCCAGATAACCCTGAAATCAGATGTCACCTCCTGATCTAACTCTGGCACTGGAATATATCGTATCTGTTTGCATCTGCACCAACCCAAACTCCGAATGCTTCTTCAAGTACCTATATAAAGAATCCATAGATATACAAATAAGAGAGAGTGATGACTGCTTTTCCAGAGTTGGGGCAGTGGCTTAAATGGCACTCGCCTACAGCCTAAAGCTCCCCATTGCATTTCTATCCTCTATAGTCATCTCTTGCAACAACACCCTGCAAATCCTTATTTGTAACATGAAGAGGAAACTGACATAAAAAATTAAAGATGTACAAACAAAAGAAAAACAATTAAATCCATTGCTAAAATCTGTTGCTAGAACTGAGGCCTACCCACATTCTAAGAAATCTCATTCTGTTTCATTGTTAATTAGCTCTTCATCATAGTTCAGCAAAGTAAGCACTACTACAGCCAATAAACCAGTCCTTCTAGAACAGGTAACTCCTGTGCCTCTGGGAAATCAAAGGGAAGATGAAGCATTGACTGTGGAATTTTAATTGACAATAATAGTACAGATCAAGGAAGCAGAAGCCAGATCTACAAAAACATTCCTTAACAAAACCTATCCGCAGGGACACATCCTGAAAACTTTTCAGAATTTCTTAAGAAAAGGAACTCTGAGTCAACTGAAGTTAAGCCTTTTATGAGCGCCTGCTGAAATGCTGGAAGAGAACTACTGAGGTTGTGACAGATGCCTCTAGGGAGCCGAGGAAACTATCTGATCGTTCCACTTGCCAGACTCTTAGGCGCTGATTTCCTAGGATGTGAGTCATTTGATGCTCAAAAATAGGCTCTGTGGTTAAAATAACGAAGCCTGGGAGCAGCCCAGCCCTGTATGACTGACTCATCAAAGAGTAAGCCTGGCTTCTGGGTTTCATTCTTCTTCTGGCCCATTGTTCCTGAATCTCATTCCATAAGCCCAAGACCCCTGTTCTGACCAAGGCAGCTTCTCCAGCCTACGGCCTGCTCTGTAACCTGTACAGCAGCCTAGCCATCTGGGCTTGCACTTCTAGCCTGTGCTCTTGCTGCTCTTGCCTTCTCCACTCTGCCTGTTCCAGAAATGGAGCCCAGTGGCAGGCACCCCAAAATATTGGTGGACATCTGTTACATTGGTCACATCCCTGGTTGCCCTGTCTGTTTGGCTGCCTATCGGGGCTCTGGTTCTTTCTTGTTTATCTGTGGGGCCCACGGATTTCCTGAACCACCATCTGTTTGCTGCCATACCCTTTAGATATTACCATGTCCTCCATGTCAGGTGAAATTATTCATGAAATTTCTATAACATAATGGTTAAGATGGTGATCTTTTGGCAATATATACGATTATCGAATCTTTATGCTGAATATCTAAAACTAATACAATGTTATATGTCAATTATAGCTCAATTTTGTAAAATTTTCAGAAAATGAAGAAAAAAAACCCTAAGGAAATTAAAAAAAAAACAAAACAAGCAAACAAAAAACACAAGGGAGCGTTGGGAATAGAAAGCCCTGGGATTAAATCCAGATTTGCCACTTCCGAGTAACCTTGAGTTACTGGTTGAACCTGAGTTTCACTTCCTGCATTTCAGAGTGGGGACAGTTCCTTATGGACTGGTGTGAATCAACCTATACACACAATACATCATACTTTGCTTGGCACATAATTAGCAAACAGTAAATCAATGATTTTGAAAACAGTAACAACAAAAATCTATAGTCACCCTAACCTTGTCCCCTAAGCACAATGGATAGGTTCTGGCTTTTCATTGTCTTCTCCCCAATTCCACCCTAACACAAGCCCACCCCTGCCTAACCCCTGCCTGAGCTGGTCCTGAGAGAACACTATGAACCTTCTGTTAGAGGAGACCATCACTGTTATAGCCACAGAAGGCAACAGAGTGGTTTGACCACAATGAAAATATACTCCCACTGGAGACTTGGGAAAGTTTTTTAAGTTATCCTCATTTTTGGTTTAAAAAAAAGAAAGGAAGAAAGAAAAAGAAAAAATATGTGTATTTTGGTTTGGAGCCCCCTGAGAACAGGGGATTGGGTCCGTTTATCTTTATGTCCAAAATGGATATTTATTTTTTTCTCCATTGCCTGATATGTACTAGGCAGCCTGACATATATACATAATTTTTAAACTGTTAAGGAAAAAAAATGAAAACAAACTTAGGTTAAATATATTCAAAGCCATGTATTGAACATCTTAATGCCATTACGAGTGCCACACTAAATTCTACATTGCCTGCAAATAACAAGAGAAAACAGTGTTATTTAGCAAAGGGCAGAGAACAGAAGAACAAACTTAATTCCTCACAGCAGGAGAAATGTTTCTAATCTATGGTTGCATGAGGGTCTTTGCCAGAGGAGAGGAAGATGGCGGTGTAGTAAGGTGGGAACTGGCAGCCTGAGTTACAGCAAAAAATGGGAGTTAGGGAGGAGGCACATAAAAGCTTTTGAAGACAGAACTTGGGCTGTTTCTTAAACTGTCTAATAGACATATGAGCATTTATGTTGCTATTAGCATTTAAACTGTACATGTGTATTATATATACTCTTTTGTATATATGGCATATGATAAAATAGAGAAAAGATAAGAAGGTGGGTAAGGAGAGAAGAAGTTGGTTTTCTCTGGTATCAATTTGAATTTGAGCTCTGCTAAGTGAAAAGCATCAATATGTTTGCCTTTATGGCATTCTCTTCCCTCTCCAGTATCTAGAGGCCTCTTTGACATGCTTTCCTCAGGAATAGAGACTTACTCTTCTAAAATAGAGCTAAATGGAGCAGGAAACTAGTCCACATAGGGGCCCAGATTATAGAGGGAGGAATACAGGGTGGGGTAGGGCATTATGTCACTCAACTGACCAGAACAGTTCCACTTTCTCATTGAAACCTCCCATGAAGAACAAAGCACAGAATCAAGTGAATCTTGTGACAGAAACCATTGTTAAAAAAAAAAAAAAAAAGACGTCAAATACTGAACCAGAGATTCAGAGATTTCTGGATATCATAGACCATTAAATTTCTATTTAATAATTATTTATTGCAAAATAAAGTAAAAAAAAAAAAAAACAACAACAAAATCCAACACAAAAAAACCATCCACAATTTTCAGGAAACCTCTCATCACTTTTCCCATATAGCATGATAGAGTTTCCATTTGGCAGTAATATCATAAATGCAATTTTGTATTCCATTTTGCTTAATGTTATGCCAAAAGAATATTTAATTTTTTCTTTTGTCTTTTTTTTTCTTTCCTCCCTAATCTCTTGAAATAACTAGCATACACGGTAACCTAAAAAAAAAAATGTAACTATTGGGAGACTAATAAAGGGTTGCCATTTTTTTATATAAAAACTTTAGTAAAAATTATAACCTATTTTATTTTTAAATTTGTTTATTTGAGAGAGAGAGAGAGAGAGAGAGCGTGTTTATGGAGGGGGGCCAGAAGGAGAGGGAGAATCTCAAGCAGACTCTCCGCTGAGGAGGGAGCCTGATGTAGGGATTAATACCACATCCCTGAGATAATGACCTGAGTCGAAATCAAGAGTCAGATGCCCCACTGACTAAGCCACCCAGGCATCCCTAATCTACTGTCATAATTACTTTATAACATGAAATGATAGTTGTAATCATATACTGTTTTTATTACTAAATGGTTCTTATTTTTCCCCAAAAGTCCAAACTGAACCAAGTAGTAGCATTTAAGAACCACTCAAGAAGACCAGTGGTCTTTAAATGTTATTGTAAGGAAGACTAGGAAGCTCTTGGGGTTGCCTGAGCAGCTTGAAAGCAGGCACAGGTCAGAACCTTCTACTCCTTCTTCAATTCAGATATACTTCTCTTTTATTTATTTCTTATATTGGGCAACAGTAAGATTTCCTGGCTCCTCCATTGGATACCTCTTTGAACTTGGGCAAGTTTTGAATTTCTCTGGCTTATCTTCTCTTCCTCATTGGTTAAGTTACAATTCTGTTTACCTACCTAGTAGACTTTTGCAGGGATTATAAGTTCATGGATAATATGTGCTTAGAATGTTCATGGCATAGTACATAATAATAACACATAATAAACTCAATAAGAATAATTATTATAGTTAAAAATATAAAACATTGATGGTTACAATCCTTATGCTCAATGCAGAAATTGCCTTTATAGGCATCCTAAAATGTATTCATGCAGCTTCTTCTTGAACCTGTTGAGTGGGAAGGCCATTATTAATGGGGGACTCTATTAAAACTTCTTATTTTTATCAAGCTTAGATTTACGCCATATTATTTACCCCCTTATCTGTCCTAAATATAGCCCTTGAAGACACAGAGAAAAACTAATTGAGAACTCTTTCAAAATTTTTAAGACAGTTCTTTATACTTTCTGAGTTTACTAATATTAGTTGAAGAAAATGTTGGACCATGTCCTATACTAAATGCTTTACATCATAAACTCATTTAATTCATAAACAACCCTAGTACTAAATTTATGAGAATATAAGCAAGGTATTTATAGTATTTACCATGGTAAATCTAGCACTTAATTTATTTCTAGGGCATGATCAGAGTTCAGAAGAAGAAAAAAAGAATTAAGTTAGTGAATGAATCTGTTTTCCAACTTAAGAAAAATAAAGTTCAGTGAAGACGGATATGTAGTCCAACACTAGTAGGAAATGGCAGAGTTATGAATGACAAGAGCTCTGTTTGACCCGTTCTTAAACAATTAAGCACTATGTTCCCTAGGCAGTATCATAATCCCTATCCCCAGAGCAGCCCACCGGGACAGATTTTGGCTGTTTTTAATTACTCACAGAGAGATAAATGTGAGCTCTCTGCTGCACAGCCTTTCCAGGCCAAGGGCACTATGTCCATTGGTGTTGTAGAGAATGCCTGCTAGCCCGTGAACGCCAAAGGCAAGGGGAGCTGCCAGTGTCACAGGCACAGAGCCATAGAGTGGTTCCTTGAAATCATCATTTTGCATAGTTAAGTCCTGGTAGCATTTAGCAAGAAGCATATATGAAGAATGTTTCATTTTGTTAAGTTACTGCCTAATATTAGGCACTATAAGAAGTGCAAGAGCTGCCCACCCCTTTGGACAATGGTGGTGCAGTTGATGGTATCATTAGCTAAGTATGCCTCCTGATACTGAATGCAATGGAGGTCTCTAGCTCTTGGCCATCAAACTTTACTTGGCTTCTAAAGGTTAGTCTTATTTGGAGACAAAGCCATCATGGACAAAGCACAGGAAAAGCCCAGCTTCGCAGCACTGTATTCCTACGATACCCACATGTACCGTCATTCTCAGTTTGAGGAAGCCGGTGATCTTCCCCTCAGGAAGCTTGAATAAGTAGATTCCAACTGAGAACAGGTATATTCCCAATATACATCCAGCTAACTTTCCCATTAGCTTTACTTATACCATAAAATCTGAGGCTCCCAAGAAAGCATACATCACTGTAGAGCATGGCTTATTGCATAAGTCTTGCCAACCAAGACCAGTGAATGGATTCCTCTGTTCTGTGTCCAGTCTGGAAACAAATCTGGCAGACTTTCAGTTGAAGAGAACTCTGGGTAAAGGTCTAAGACAGCTGCTGCTGATAGCTATACTGATCACTGCATCAGACTCACATGAAAATGACTCTATTGAAAAAAAAAAAGAGTACTGAACTAAGGAACCTATCTTTAAAATTTATTTTAAACATTTACAGTTCTGAGATCTTAGATAAGTTATTAACCTCACTAAGACCCAGTTTCCTCCTCTATAAAATAAAGAAGATGGCAATACCTATCTCAGACACATATGTGAATCATGTAACATAGTATATATGAAAGCATTAGGAATTGTTTATGCGTCATCCAAATGTAAATTAGCATTAATTTAGGTTATATTATGTAATCCTGTCACACGGAAACTTTTCCCATGATTCACTGAATCTTTTAAACCTGTTCTAGGGCACTGCTCTGGGAAGCAGCCATTTGTTAATAAAGATGACACATCTGGCTAGGATATAATGCAAGACTCAATGGGCTAGGCTTATAATAGCAGGTCACTTCTCTTGACTCCACCTTACTGTCCTTGGCTGCTTTTAGCAGCATGGGAGCAATAGCTCCTTATGATCCTAGAAACTGTACTTAGGAAATTCTGAGATTTTTTTCATCTTAAGGATAAGCAAGTCTGTTTTTGTTTTAATGCATTTTCTTCTCCATTGAGGAATCACTGAATCACATAATCTCAGTGTTGGAGGGTCCATAAAGCTCATCTAATCCAAATGTAAGAAAGCTTCCTGTGATATCTCTGAGAAGAAATCATCATCTAGGTTCTGCTTTGATGCAAAAACTCTCTTGCTAAAAAGATAGTCCATTCTTGACCTATTCGAGTCAATAGAATATTCTTACTTCATTGGGTAGAAATCAACACTGACTCCACTTGTCATTTATGACTGACAGAAGATTTAAAGAATATAAAAATATATAATTTGTCTATTCCATATTTATGGAGTACTGAATATGGCCTAGCATCATTTAACAAACAAATTCTATTATGATCCTCTTTCCAGTCTCAGGCCCTCTTTCTTATACTCCATTCTCACCCCAGAAGAGCAATCATAGCATCACCACTCTTGCTGAGTGAGTCTAAACTGATCATTAGTTTGATTTGAAGCCTTGATGGGAACCCCATATCAGCCAGCAACAGACAAAGAACCAAAACAAAAATCAGATCTTTCCCCCTCCAAAATTAGTTTTGATTAAGGAAAATGGTCATTTTACAACATGTGGTATAGAATTACTACTCTTACGTAATCTCAAAATTGGGATGAATTTTTCTCTCTCAAAATTAAAAGCTCTTCCATACATCTTTTAATATGTAAAAGATGTGATTTAGAAACATCTATCTAAAATCATCAGAGATAAAGCCGAAATGCCACACAATTTTGTTATGTACCTTGAGTATTTACCTCATTAAGTGTCAAAGCTGGTTTTAAGAATTTTAGATTCAAACCATTATTAAATAGAGTTAATGGAGCATAATGTCAAAGTGCACTGGCCTTAGAGTCAGAAAGAATTCTGTTAGTTCCCAGCTTTGTTGCTGTCTGACCAGGACATGTCACTTTAATTTTCTGGATATTCTGGACCTTGACAATATACAATGAGAATAATTTATACAATGAGAATAATTATAATACCTACCTCATTGAATTGCTGTGAGCATAAATGCCATAATTTTTGCAAAGGGCTATAAACAGCCCTTTGTACATAGTAAGAATTCAAAGACATTCAGCTAGTATTATTATAAAATGCCATGTTTCTTTACTTATTCATCAGGGAATGAAGAATGTGGTCTAACCTCTTCATTTTGATTCAGAGTGAAAATTATTAATATTCCTTAGAGACTTCTCATACATGGTAATAAAATTTTTCAACTAATGGGTAGGCAATGTAAGTGACACTCTAAATTCTCTTTGAGGCTATGCTTCATAAGTGAAAGAGAATAATAAATCGGCATAGACGTGAAGAAGATGTACTTTGAAGTCACAGACTTGGGTTTCAGTAATAGGCTCATCAATTACTAGTTATATGATCTTGGAAAATATACTTAACTTTTTTCTGTTTCTGTCTCATTTTTTAAAGGAAATGTTAATAGGGTCTACCTTAAAAGACTGTAAGAGTTAAAAGGTAAACCTCAGGGTCCTCAGGTTTCAGGCAAGTAGGGAGGAGACATACATGTCACTTTGCCTTCCTATGAAGCATGTAGGCTGATATGACACAAAAGGGTGACAGAAGAGTGTGAGATGATTAGGTGAGCCTATCTTGTGGCGGGGGGGAAAGGATTTGCTGAATAAACAGTTGAGAGGCAGTGGAGTACATGATGTAGACATCAAAATATATCACCCTGACTTGGATGGAGTGAAAAGTTCACTGGACATGAAGCAAGCAGTATGTGGCTGAGGGGAAAGGATGGAGTTTGGGTGGTCTCTGAGGCTATGGAGGTGCTCCAGGGTAGCATAGACCAATATGTGCAGTGTTGAGCCACTCAGCCTCCATCCTGCAAGGACTGGCATGGCATCATAAGCAGGCACTATCTAAGCAGACCTGTGTTTCAGAAAAATCACTTTCCAAGCAAGAATGCCAGAAGGAGTCAAAATTATTACAGCAAATATGTAAAGACCTTTCTATCTGCCAGCTACTCATCTAGGTGCTTTGTGTATATAAACTCACTTAATATTATTAACAACTATATGAAATAGGTACTTCTACCCCCATTTTGCAGATGGAAAGGGCATTGGATTCAGAGTCAAAAGATGGATTAAGGACTGACTGTGCCATGGACTTTGCGCCAGTTACCTCAGCTTTTGGAGTCAGAAGTCCTCATCAGTTGGCAAAAAAGCAAATAGAAGTAACTGTACTTCATTGAGTTGAAGAGAGGGTCCTGTCGGAACATACATGATGGGAAACTGTGGTGGGAAGGACACTGGTGCTCATGTCAAAGAGTGCTGGCCTCGAATCCACCTCAGCTTATGATCAGAAATCAGTCACTCATCATCTCAGAATGGCTACCACCTTTTTAAAATGGGAGTAATAGCTAGGCCCATGTGTAATACTTGGGGGACCAGGGGAAGAACTTCCTTTTGCATAGGCTTAAATATGGTACCAGTAATACTTACTTTTCAAGAGTAATACAATTAAATATCACCTCACATCTGTCAGAATGGCTAAAATCAAAACAACACAAGAAATGAAAGGTGTTGGCAAGGATGTGGAGAAAGGGAAACCCTTTTACACTGTTGGTGGGCAGGCAAACTGGTATAACCACTCTTTGTAAACAGTATGGAGGTTCATTAAATGTTAAAAATAGAAATACCCTACTACCCAGCAATTTCTCTACTAGGCGTTTACCCAAAAGATACAAAAATACAGATTTGAAGGAATACATGCCCCCAATTGTTAACAGCAGCATTATCTGCAACAGCCAAACTATGGAAACAGCCCAAGTATCCACTGACTGATGAATGGATAAAGAAGATATGGTACATATAGGTAATATATGTGTATGTAATATGTATATATATAATATATATATGTAATGGAATATTATTCATCCATTAAAAAGAATGAAATCTTGCCATTTGCAACAACACGGATGAACCTAGCAAGTATTATGCTAAATGAAATAAGTCAGAGGAAAACAAATGTCATATGATTTCACTCATATGTGTAATTTAAGAAACAAACAAACAAACAAAAAAAAAACAAGCAAAGGGAAAAACAAAAGAGAGAGAGAGAGAGACAAACCAAGAAACAGACTCTTAACTACAGAGAACAAACTGGTCACCAGAGGGGAGGTGGTGTGGGGGGATGGGTGAAACAGGTGATGTGGATGAAGGAGGGCACTTATGATGAGCACCAAATAATGTATGGAACTGCTGAATCACTATATTGTACACCTGAAACTAATATTACACTATATGTTAACTAATTGGAATTTGAATAAAAACTTAAAAAAAACTATTATAAGAATTAAAAGATAGCATATAGAAGGGAAGCACCCAGAACATGTAACAATGTTAAAAATGTTAAATTATATAAATGTTATTGTAGCTGCTAGTTATTATTATTAATATTAGATTATCATTATTGTTTTTAGAATGTGCTTGGAAAATCACTAGTAGTTGTAGGAACATGGGTAGTATTTGGTTATCCTGCCTCCTTTTGCCCCTATAAAACACTGAAAGGCCTTGTCATCAGTTATTGTATCAAGGAGAATGTATATATTTTAGGCTGTGAGTTTAAATAAACTCTTCTGGGCTTAAGTATTTTAAAATCCATACCAGCAGCCTAGGGAGTACTCCTGAGGGGTTTGAGGTCTTGTACCCCAGTTTCCACTTTCTGGTTCTAAAC